GTCAGGGCTGCTGTGGCGGGAAGCGACCAGCGCTTGGCCCAGGTGAGGCAGACTCCTCGGAGGCGCGACCCCTGGGAATCGACGTGGGTGCTGCCGGGAGCAGAGTCCGCAGGGCGTCGGGCTGTGGAAGGCGCTTGGAGCGGGAGGGGGATAGGAGGGCAGGCCGGAGGCGTGGGGAGCACGGGCAGCTCCGGGGCCAAGTGGGTGGCGGGGAGGGCAGCCGAGGCCGTGCCAGGCCGGGCAGAGCACCGGGGAGTGTGAGCTGGGGAGCGGCCTGACTCCGAGTGTGAGGCCCACCTTTATTATTTACAGTGCACCCCTGTGTCATAATCCGATGCACACTTTCCAAAAGGGGTGTTTCTGAGACATTTTCCAAACCACAGCAAAGGCTCCTGGGTCCTCCGCAGTGGCAGGTGGCAGTTTCAGCGCGGGCCTACTGAGCCTGTGGCGGCCCCTTCCCTTTGGGCGCGAGGCCCTCTGTGTTCCCGTTGGCTCAGCTGCGGGGCGGGGCCGGCAGCCCAGGCCGAGCCTGGGGTAAAGGTGGAGCCGCGGCAGGAGGGCCCCTCTCGCAGGCCGAGGTGGAGCGGCAGGGGGTGCTCGCGGGCGCTGCGCAGCCGGCCTCGCCGACACCGTGCCTCCGCGGTGCGGGTCCCGAGAAGAGCGCCAAGGGTTTCACGGATTAAAAGTCCAAGGGAAAGAGCAATGTGACATTTTAAAGTTTGTATTTACTGATTGAGGATTTCGGTAGCCAAAAATCCTGTTTCTGTAGTAGGAATTTTAAACCATCATTCAACATTTTTCTGTGAAGTTGAGAATAAGACACAAATTGTTTGTAATTATTAAACTCCTTATGCAGAAACTGAGAATAATGATAAAATTTAATCTTACCATTGGAAAAATTCAAGACAATTGCAGTTTCATACAACAGATACTCAGCATGTATGACATACTGGATACTCTCTTGGGACTGAACAAATACGATCTAGTTCTTCAAATTGGTAAGATATTGTAATACATTTGTTTTGGTATAATTTCATACCTTAAAACTTCAGATAGTTGGCAATAATTAGGATGCAGAAACATAAAAAAATCCCAAAGTGTCTGAAACCCATCTATGCAGAATCCACCAAAAAGCCGAAAAAGTGAAAGAACAAAAGCTAATTTTGTGGAACAACAGAGTGGTAACTGTTTAATAAAGAAGTTCTCCTTAAAGGAGTTTTTATTGGGATCTTCTGTCGTAGTTGTAATTTTATTGTGATTGGTGATGACAGGCATGAAACAACGCTACAGTCACCGAAGCCGTTAAGTACTGAGTTTTGCGGAAGAACTTAAGGCCTGGAGAGTCGCGAATAGGACGCCAGCGCACAGAGCGGCGGTTGGGAAGCCGCTCGCAGGGCTGGAAGGGCTTGCACTGGTGGCTGAGCGCCGGGGAGGCGACGGAGGCGGCTCCGGCCGGGGGTGCGTTACTGGAGCCAGAGGGAGGGCGGGGCAGGCCCGCGTCCGTCCGGTGGTGCAGCCCGCGGCCCTGGATCCCTCCGCAGGCTCCTGGGCTGGGAAACGCATGGCAGGCGTCGCCCCTGCCGACTTGGAAGGGTGCGGTGCATTCGTGAGACGCCAGTGCAAGGTTGCTGGGCACAGAAGGCGCCCCGCAGGTGAAGCTGGCGTCGCTGTTAGGGAGGCCGGAGGGGGCCAGGCTACGGAGGACAGGATTGCTGGGTACGGCGTCCTACGCGAATGTGATGGGCGGTGGGAAGCCCCCTGACTCGAGTAAGAAGGACAGGGGCGAGCGGACAGTGGCGCTACCAGTGGAGTGCGCCTGCGCGCCGTGTGCTCCCTCTGTGCCACTGCCGGCCTCGCTGCCGCCCCGCAGGGCAGCGCCCTGCACAGGGTCACCTGGCCACCGAGAGGGGAGGCAAGGCTGGGGCTAGGCCCGCCTGGCTCCAGAGTGTGGGCCCTTTTCCCCACCAGCCGCCTCTGCCTGGGAGGCCACTGCGGGACTGCCGGCCCCATGGGGGAAGGGAGTGGCCGGCTCCGGTGGTTACTGCTGCTGCCAGAAGGCGTGTGCGCTCAGAGCACACGGGGGCGTACCCCCAGCTCCCCCACCCCCGTCCCCGGAGCATGAGGAGGAAGAGGAGACAGGGCCGCCGTACGTCGTGGAAAAACAGACAGAGCCTCGTGACTGGCCGCAGAAGGAAGAGGGCAGGGTAAGGCCGAGGTGCGCATGCTGGCCCCACAACGCGCAGGCGCCGGTGGCAGTCTGTGGTTTCTCAGGACGCGGTCTCCTGCGGGCACACCCCTGGCGTCGCTCAGGCCTCACAGTGACCCTCGCGGGGTGCAGACGGTGCGCTGCGTGGCCAGACTTCTGCTGTCCAAGTCCACCTGCGCCAATGGCGTTGGGGAGGGCGACCTTTCGGAAGGAGCGCCCTGCCCGCCTTTGTCCCTTTCCGGCTCCTGCTCCCCGCGTCCCGGGGCCAGTTTTTAAAATTTCTAGTCTATCTGGACCGATTAAAAATTTTGTAAAATTAAAGAAAAATTCTGTAAAAGAAAAACATAAGAGGCACACAAAATGCAGACTTTTTAAAAATTAAAATCAAGATAAAAAATGACTCCATCAGACTGCCATAAAGCTGATTCACAGTTACTGAATTTAATTTTGACTGCAGACTGTTAAACTATTCACAGACTGGTTCACCTGGAGAGCAGTTATCTAGGAAGAAAGTTTGTTAAGCAAACGAGTAAACAGGATGTTTTCAGAATATTCACATGATTTAAGAGTAAGCAGTCTTTCCGTTGGTATTTAAAAACACTTCAGGTGTTTGTTCACAGGCGATCTAATCTTCGGCGGGGCCCGCCTTCCGGGCCTTTGGAGACCGACTGCGGGCGGGTGGGCGGAGGTATGTGGCCGGGCGGGCGGGGCTGCGGTGGCTCACGCACGGTGCGGGGGTCAGCCTCGTGTCCTGCGCCCTCACCACTGCAAACCTGCTTTGCCTGCCCCTGTGTAATAAGAACTGAGGCTAAGGAATCTAGATTTGAACTAGTAGCCGGACTTGGAAAAATAGGTGCTTTTACTTCCTCTGTTATTCTGAGAACCGTTGTGCATCCTTTTGCTCATTTCATTTATGGTAGTATGTTTTCTCTGTTAATTTTTGGCTTTTAAATTGATTTTTGTATTTCCGTATGTAATGTTAGGTGTATTCTTTTAGGGGGAAGTTCCCTAAGCAAACTTTTATTAAAAAGCCTCTAGATTTACATATGCTGACATAGAGATCATGAGACAATTTAATTTGCTCGTATTTCAAATTTGAGTTTTGTCTCTAGCTGCCAGTGTATCTTGCTTTGTATTTTGAGCTGTTTTTACTTTTGCTGATATCTTCCTTGTTCTGAGATGATTTGCTGTCCCTCCTTGGGGGTGAGGGTGTAAGGGGCTCCTTTCTGGTTTTGTGGCTTCTCCTGCTTGCCTCGCCCCAGCCCCTCACCCCCACGCCCCACCCGCATGTCAGGCGGGCTGAGGGCCGCGCCCTTGCCCGGCACCTGCTCCCTCCCGGAGGCCCCTCTTCCTGGTGCCAGCGGCAGGACCTCTTCTGTCCAGTCCCTTGTTCACAGGACACCTTTCCAGGCTCCTTCTGGTGGGTGCACCCTGAGATCACCCCCAGACCATCCCTGCAGGCAGTGGAGCAGGTTCGCACCTCTGCTGACCTGTTGACCCGAGATGAGGCGGGGGAGGGTCCGTGTGCCCTGAGCTCCACCTTGTGCCACTCAGGGCCCTGCTTCCAAAGGCTCAGGTTATGTGTTTGCTCAGAGCTGCCTGTGATTTTGAGGCCCTCTTTTCTTCTCAGTATTTATATTTATGTCTGAAAAGTCAAACATCAGAACACTCGGTACAGCACACGCCCAGGATGTTTCAAGGATGCGGTCCCCAGCGTTAGTTGCCTCCACCTGTGATTTTCCGACAGGTGTGTGTGTGTGTGGGGGGGTTCCTCTATCTCCGCAATGGCAGCCCAGCACACGGGCTTACACAGGACATCGCCCATGAAGAAAAGAATCCTGCTTTGAATGGAGGGAGTGCCTTAAAAAGTCACATTTTAGCCCAAGTCTAAGTCATTTGGTTTTACCTTTGGGGGGGATATGGCTGTGTGTGTTCTCCCTGTCCCCTTTATGGTCAACAGACTTTGGTTTCAAACCCAGCCCTGCCACATGCTTAGGTAGGTGTGGTGACTTTGGCTGAGCTATTTAACTGTGTGAAACCTGTTTTCTCCCCGGTAAAAGGGGGGAGTGTTACCGACCTTGAATGGGCATAGGAAGGCTCAGAGGTGGCACAAGCGCCGCGCGCGTGCGAGCGAGCGAGCGAGGGCTGCGTGGGGAGAGCCACCTGCGAAGGTGCTGGGGAGGCTGTGTGGGGCGCAGGGCCGCCGGCTCCCGCAGTGGGCCTCCCACCGCAGCGGGGCAGCGTGGACTCACCCAGGCGGCTGTCAGCACAGTTCCTGGGCCCACCCCCTGGTTTCCGAGGCGTGTGGTCTAGGGCGGGGCTTGCGCATTCGCATTTCTGAGTTTCCAGGTGATGCTGCCACCGCCACTGCTGGTCTGGGGACCACGCTTTGAGAAGCACTGGGCTGCAGGTAACTCTCCAATGAGCGCTTAGGTGCTGTAGCGCTTTCATGGGGTCAGAGGTGCTCTTTTAGAAAATGCTTCGATTGCATTTTGCAAATACTGAATTAGCATCTCAAGGATTTTTTCCTCCTGAGGTCCAGGGGTCTGACTAGTTAAATATATTTGAAATAAGTTGTGAAAGTAACAGTTATAAACATTGTACAGATAGTCTAACAATGTCAGATTGGCTAAGGTATGTGAAAGTGCTTTGATAAAATGCTAAAACCTGAAAAAGTATTTTAAATACCTTTGTTTTTAAGATGGAACATCATAGTGGAGTATAAAATAGTTTGACTTAGAGTTCTCATCTCAATGTGCTGTTTACTGTGTGTATTTTTCTCTTTCTCCTCCAGGCTGCTGACTTGAGTAAACCAATAGATAAAAGGATATACAAAGGAACACAGCCTACTTGTCATGACTTCAACCACCTCACAGCCACAGCAGAAAGTGTCTCTCTCCTAGTGGGCTTTTCCGCAGGCCAAGTCCAGCTTATAGACCCAATCAAAAAAGAAACTAGCAAACTATTTAATGAGGAAGTAAGTAGCACCCTGTCTTAGCTGCTAAGACTCCCTTCAAGAATGTACACGCCCTCGCCCAGGGGAGCGGGCCTTACCTTACGCGCTCCGCTGAGCCCGTTTCCCACGTCCCGGCTGCCCTGCCTTGCGCCACCCAGCTCTCAGTGTGGCCCGCGAGCTCGTTGACTTCTGCCTGTCCTTCCCTGGGGTGACTGTTTTGTGCGTCTTTTATGGAGCATGCTCAGGTGTCTATAGCAGCTGCTTTAAAGCTGTTATAGTAGAGATGGGGTCAGACTGTACGTCTTTGTTTATGATTTAAATAAGAAAATACAGAATTCCAGACTTTGTTCACATCATCTGAAATTTTCATGTGGAGCAAAGAACTTGAAGACATTTCCTTCGGCGGCTTACATTGTACTTAAAGCTTTGTGTGGATGTTTGACAGGCCTTTGGCTGAGGAGTAATTATTTTGCTTTTGAAAATATTTGCTCTAAAATCATGTTTGACATAGTTAGAAATCCCGGCGCTTACAGTTGGATCACACGACATAGCTTTTGCCAGTGCTGTAGTACGTTCTGGGGTTTCTCATATCTTCAGTTTCATTCTGGAAGGAGCTCGCGCTATCTGAGCCGGCTGTTCAGGAACACATCAAGGCTGTTACACGTGGCAGGCAGACGTTGCCAAACAGGTTATGTCTGTGACAGCTGGCGGTGGCTTTTTGGCCCCGCGCATTGCCATGGCGTGTTCAGCGTTCCCCTCTTCTGTCTCGGTGTGACTCTCCCAGCCGTGGAGAAGGCGGTGTGGGCCGGCTGAGTGAGGAGCCTGGGTCCCCCCTTTTGTTCGTGACCTCAGCCCTGATCTGACAAGGGTCAGGTCACGTGGGATCCGACTTCTCGGGAAGGACAAGTGGTGTTGCGCTGTTGCGTGATTGTAATGCCGTCACCTTGGAACAGAAGCACACTATAGATTCTGGTTGTTAAGAAATAATTTTATCTGGTGAAGAATATTCAACTTGACAAATTGCAGTTAGAATTTTTATTCTTCTGCAGCCAATGCGGTCCGTGCCGTCCACACACGTCCAGCACCGTCCACAGTGCTGCTGCGTGACCCCCTGGGGGCTTGACGAGCGCTTTCGAACACGTCACCCCTCTCCTAGTTCATCGGGGCCGCCTGGAAACACACTGTGCCGTCGGGACTAACAGGCTGTGGACGAAAAGCATTTAATTCTGTTTCCCATTTAAAAATTTTCAGCAGAAAATGGTTCTGTTTTCCTACATACTTTATTACTATCACCCGAGGAAGTGATTTCTGAGTTGGCTGGATGATACCCCTCTGATTTTTTTTTTTTTTCCGGTGGGGGAGACGAGTCACAAAACCAGCCCCCTGTGCTGCTGCAGAGACGATGAACCCGGACTTGGATTCACTGTGGGGCTCTGTTTGTGGTGAGGTGGGGACACGCCGCGGGGAGGGGCACTGGAACCACATAAACAAGGCCGGGAGGCTGCCCGCACCGAGGGTGGCACGGAACGCCACTCCGAGAACAAGGCGCGTGTGTGTCACAGCTGGGGGAGGGGCGAGCGGGGGGGGGCCGCAGGGCCTGGAGCCTCGGGCCTGAGCTCGCAGACGCGTCGGCCAGGCCCGTCCCTCGCTCTGGACACCGGACACTGCAGGCTAAGGGGTGCCCCCTCGCTCCTGGCGCTTTAAACACAAGTGATCTCATGCTCTTTTTTTCGTTTTATTTGAAAAGTGGCCACAAGAGCAAGGACTGTGTGTGGTGTGATGCCAACGGGGCATTTAGAGCTCGAGCCTGACATTGGTTGTCCTGCCCAGTACGGTCGTCCTTTGGCTGTGTGGGTGGCATTGTCATCAGGTGGTGGCTAGGACGTCCAGGAGCAAAGCCGCCAGAGGTCTGTCCCTCGGAGAGTGCCGCTGGGGGGTGGGGGTGGCGGGCACCGTTCCTGCACTTTGCGTCGGTGTGAGAGTCCGAGGGTCAAGCGTCTTGCCTGCTCCCCCTGTTCCCCCTGTTCGGGGGTGGGGGCGGCTGTCCCTGTCACGCAGGTGGGCGGCTTGTCACAGAGAGGGTAAGGGAGCTGCCTGGGTCAGGTCCACCATGGGGATAGACGTGAGACTAGAAATTAACTGCACAAGCTCTCCCCGGCCATGGCCGGCCAGCCCCGCGGGGCGGCAGGATGGGTGGGCCCCTGTCCTCCCCGGTGCGCGGCTCAGCAGGTGGGCGGGCTGCGCGGCTGTGTGTCGGCGCAGCGCTCGGCGCAGAGAGCACGGGGCACGCTAGCTCCGCGTGTCGGTGTGTGTGGGCTCCTGTAAAACAAAAACCAACCTTAAGCTCAGTGGCAGAAGCCTGAGAAGGCTTCCAGAAGGTGACAGTTGTTACCCGGTTTTGGAAGACACAGAGGAGCTGGGGGAGGATGAGAAAGGCCGTCGGCACTGAAGGAGGGACGTGGCGTGTGGAGGAGCGTGCGGGGCCCGGTGCGGCCGTCACGGCCCAGGGGCCTCGGAGCGGCGGGAGTCGGGCCTGGGCAGGTGCGCCGCGCCCAGCCCGCACGAGTCTCCCTGGGACGTGCTCGCAAACCGGGTCTGACCTGGAGGCTGTGGGGGACCCTTTGGGCTTTTCCTCAAGGGAGTGACAGGATCAAATGTGTTTTTTTAGACCTCTTGTCAGCACTTGTGGAAGGTGGATTGGAATGAAGAGAGAGAGAATGAAGGTAGCAAGACCAGTGAGGAGGCTCTAGTAACTGTCCAGGTGAGAGCTGAGGGCCTGAACCAGAGTTGGCCGCGTTTTCGTTCATTTGATGGACCTTGATGTCCTGCCTGTGCCCGGCACTGGGTCTGCTGTGTCAGGTGACCCTGCCCTGCAACACACCATACACACGCGTGCGCGGCAAACGGGGACTTGTGACAGGAGAGGAGACCTTGGGCCCGAGAGAGAACTGCGAAGCCTCCCTAACTGCGGGGGGGAGAGCTCCCCTCGAGAGAGTGCTGGCTGCGGCCAAGGCCAGCCCGGGAGGGGCGGGGCGGGCGCTGTGCTGGGCGTGCAGGTGAGGGCCTGGTGGTGGAGCTGCGGGGCCGGAGGGGCAACCTGGGGGCTGCGCCTCGAGTGGGCGGGACCCCTGGGAGCATGAGGCGGTCGGGAGGCGGTTTTGGAAACTATCCTGGCTGCTGCCTGGAGCTGAGTCGGGGGGGGGGGGGGGGGGGCAGGGGAGCCAACCGTGGGTTCCTGGTGACCACGCCACCGCACTGGGTAGGACCGGGAAGGGGCAGGTGTTGGGGAATGGAGGGTGGGGCCGCAGTCCAACTGTACCTGCTCCCCTTGAGAGGCCGGGAGACGCAGTCGTGTGGGGCCTGCCAGCCTGTGACTCGCCGTCCCATCCCTGAGGTCAGAAGGAGGACCTATGGGGAGAGCCTGGGAAGAGGATCAGCAGGGCCTGCACCGGCCCCGCGGTCTCCGAGGCCCCCGCACCGCCGTCTCCAGCGGCGCTCCCGGAACAGCCCGTCTGCTCCTGAGCACGTGCAGATTCGGCCGCAGCTCAGCAAGGGGAGCCCTGCGGCCGAGGCCCGGGGCTGCCCGCCCAGCCTCTGGCTCCTGGCTGAGGGGCCTGGCCCTGGCTCTCCTACCCGGCGCCGCCTGCACGCAGGGTGTGGACGTGGTGCTAATGTGGGCTGGAGCGTGGGCCCAGGCAGGTGCCCGGGCAAGTTCCAGGGAAGGGGGACCAGCTTTGTGGCAGGCAAGACACGGCGTGTTTGAAGGGGAAGCAGAAATAGTTTCCCAGGATGAGCAGGTGAGAGCAGGTGGCCGGGCAGAGGCGCACGCATGCAAGGCCGAGGGCGGTGCCGCTCCGCTCGGCTGCGCATCGATCTGTCCGTCATGCTGTCTGTTTCGCACGCCAGAGCGCTCCTCTGTGGCTGTGACACATGGGCAGTGACCGCACACGACCCGGTGGTGACTGCTTGGGCCGTCGCCTCCTTTCCGGAGTGGCCTGGTACGTGAAAACACGGCGTGCGTTTGGGTGGCTGCCTGATGTGGGATTGTAGGTCCTGGAGAACCACCTGCGATTAAAGGCAGGGAGAGAGTTCTGTATGGGAATGCACCAAGTATATCTTAAATGGTAATTTTTTTCCATGAATTAAAACATAAAAGGAATTTAAACATCTGCTTATAGAAACATTGGGACCTAGAGAAGTACCAGTAGGGGACACATCACCTACAACTCGCAACGCTCACTGTTAACTTTGTTTCTTTGTAAGGCTAAGAGTCACGGCTCCCACTAGAAGTGCCACTGCCTTCGCCTCCCAGCCTGGCCCCTGATCTGCTCAGATCGGTCGGCAGAGGCGCATGCTGGCTGCTCCCAGTGGTCCCGGGCCCTTGGGCCTGTGCTGGTCTGGCGGGAGGAAGGACCCAGTCCTTTCTGGCCTCCCCGGCGAGTGCTGGCCGCAGACCCCTGGTCTCTGCTTCCTGCCACCTCTGAGAGTAGGTCCCAGGTTTCTGTTCGTAGCAGTCTTGTGGGGTCGGCCCCTGTGGGGAGGATCTGCGCTCAGCCGACAGGCTCTCGGGCCGCGGAGCCGGGCTGCATAGTGAGCACTCCCGGGGCAGGACAGCAGCGCCGTCTGTGATCAGCCTGCGTGAGGCGCACCGAGGGGCAGCAGGTTCCCTTCTTATGACTAGTAGTGGTGGTGTATTGGGGAGGAGGAATTGTAGGGGCAGTTTCTATATGATGATACAATTAGCCTTCTTCATCCTTATACAGATTCTCAGTATTTCAGAGTTGTAGCCATAGAATAGTAATTTCAGAGAATTTTCAAGTATGTTTTGATTATTGGGTAAGGTGTAAAATCTAAAAGAACTCGTCACCTCAGCTTCTTCCATGACTGACATGTAAAGAGACGCCCTGCCCTAGACTTTGCCTCTCTCTGCCACAGGTTTGGGGCCGGGGCCCGCTCGTTGAGCAGGCTCTGCAGATCAAGTCCAGGGCGCGGAGGAGGCCCTGACTCCCGGTCCCTGTTGCCAGCCCAAGGCTGTGAACCTTCTCGCCTCGCCAGCGGCAGGCCCCTCCTGCGCCTGGCCCTGGGGGGGGGTGGGGGCCCAGCCAGGCCCAGCCGTGGCCTTGCAGTGTTCTGTCCAGTCCCATCACAGAAGGGCAGTTCTGTGCATCCTGGTAATTTTGTTTTTGTTGTTGCTTTTTTTAATCGAAGGAAATGAGCTGATAGTGATGCACTTTTTAAAGGTGCAGCGTTGACGCAAGTGGCATGTGGCCCTCCTGCCCCCGGCCTGCGAGCGGCCCTCCTCACAGCGCGTGCTCCCGCCCACAGGGCGGCTCTGCCTGCGGCCGCATTACAGCGTTTCCAGAGGCTGTGGTTTTTGAGTTGTTGTAGTTATAAATTAACATCTGCATTTTAAAATGCATACTCACGCCCCCAAACGTAACTTTTTCCTGCTCATCATGCCGTTGTAATGAAAGAGAAAGAAGTGCAGTGTTGCAGAAAGCTTCATTTAGCGGTGATGCTTCCGTGCAGTCATGGATTTTTATTCTTGCTCCCTTCTAACGAGTTTAGTGCCATTGGAGAGTCTTGTCTGTTGATGCCATTAGTGATGGGAACGTGGGTTCACGTGTGGTTTTCCCTGGATCACAAGTGGGACCGTTCCCCCGCATTCAGAATAGGGCACGTGGGGGTGCGGGCGAACGCGAGGGACAGGCAGGGGCCGCGAGCCCCCCAAAGGGAGGCTTTGACATAGAAATGTCCGGATCGTGTTTCTGGCTTTTATGAACGTGATTGTAAGAGGAGGCCTTGCAGCGTTTCAGAATTTGTCTCCCTTGATTGGAAAGCCCTGAGGCTGTGCCCGTGACCTCACAGAGACCTCCTTCCTTAGCCGCTCAGTCTCCCCTGTGGCCCCCAGCCCCGCCTGGCCTGTGGCCCTCATCGATCCCTCCCCGGCCTCCCCGAGCCCAGGCCGGCTTCTCTGCCGGCCGGCCAGAGCGCTTCCCTGCCGAGCGTCTCGTTCCGTCCCCTGACCAAGTGGCATTTTGATGCCCAGAGCAGAGCTCCTGGCCTCTCCACCCCGCCCCCACCTCATGGACTTGTGGGCCCTTCTCTGCTTTTTCTTCTCCTAACACGTGGGGCTTCAGAGCTTCGTACTCACTTTCTCCACCCCACCTTCTCCGTTGGCGCCCGCCGGACGCCGGAGGTCCGGCTCGCCCTGGGCCTCGTCGTCCCCTCGCTTTCACTCGCTGCCGACACGATGAGGACACTTGGGTTCCTCCCCAGCTCAGTCACCCCTACCTCGTCCTTGTCTGTCACCGCCTGCCTGTCACTCAGACTCAGAGCCAGGGACCCCTCATTGCCCGTCCTCCCCCTCCTCCTCTCCACGCAGCCTGCCGCCCAGCCCCTGGCCACGTTTCAGGGCCACGCACAGTTGCCATGGCTCTTAGCTTGTTCCACTTCACGCACACCGTTCATCCCGGTAGCTGCGGGGGTTCCCCAGCCTGCGTTTCCCTCCTCAGGAGGCCCGGGCCCACTGTGTGTGGCAGGCCGCCTGGGGGCCGCTTCAACTCCGCTCCGGGCCAGAGCCAGGAAAAAGCAGAAGTGAGATTCCGCTCTACCCAGTACGTCCAAAGTACAATTTCAGCAGGCGGAGTGAGCGACACGGACACAGAGGGTCCGTTTCCTTCGCGTTCTGTCCTCAGAGCCTGTGTGCGTTCACGCTCGGCCCAGGTCGTGTTGGGCCGGTTCCTCCTTGGGTGCTCGGCCTGGGCCCCTTCACCTGGGCCTCCATGGCCTGGCTCCCCAGTGCAGACCTGACTCCCTGCCCCCGCTCAGGCGCCCTCTCGTGCAGGGCACTGCCCCCTCAGCGTCCTTGTGAGCCGCCGTCCCCTGCGCAGGACAGGGCCTGGCCCACGCCCTCTCCGCCTGCCGTCTGCCACCCGCACGTCTGCAGTCCGCCGCCCTCACCGCCCCGGCAGGCCTTTCTGGGCCTCCTGGCTGAGCCTGAGATCACTGCAGCCCCTGCCCGCCTGCACCCGGTCCCCGCGCTGCCCCCGCCCCGGGCCCGCCCTCCACAGCGCTCCTCCCTGGGGTTGGTACCTTCCACTGTCCGCTCCTCCCTCTAGAAGGTAAATGCCACGCAACAAGGGACGTCTGTTCAGTCAGCCCCTTCTTGCGCTGCCATAGGGTTTGCCTTCAACAAAGAATGAAGAATGGCTCTTTGAACGAACCTGTGAATACAGCCGTCCCTGGTCCGCGGGGCATTGGTTCCAGGGCCCCTTGATCCCACAGCCCGCGGACACGCGGGCCCCTGAACACCCAGGGGCGTGGTGCTGGCGCGCAGCCCGTGTGCGCCCTCCTGCGGACGCTGTCGCCCCCGGGTCCCCTGTGACCCTCACACAGTGTGAGTGCTGCGTCAGTGGGGCTGTGCTGTGGTGTCCGGGGAGCACTGACAAGAAGAACCGCACCTGCCCGCACCGATGCGGCCCGTGGCCACTGTGGGCCTGGTGACACAGCGCTCGCTGTCAGCAACCACGGGGCGTTGTTCCCTGTTGTCTCCCACCCGCACTCAGTGGACTCCGTGGACATGGGAGGCCGCCGTGCGTGGATGGGGGAGTCGGGGCGGAACTAGGACTTCAGGTGGGTTTCCCGACCTGGCCGATCTCGTGCCGCCTGTTCCCGATGGGCGGCGCGGCGGTGACACCTGCCTTCCTCCGGGGAGCCAGTCCTCCTGCTGACGCTGCTGATGGGGCGAGAGCTGCGTCCCCCGTGGGCGGCGACTCTCGAACGCCTACGCGGACCCCAGAGGCAGACAGCTTTCCACCCGGCTGCTCCGCCGGCCAGGCGCCCTGCCGGTGTGTCCGTGCCCAGGGAGCCGCCACAGGGACAGGCTCCGTCCACGCGAAGAGGGGCGCGCGCTGCCTCTGTGGCTGTGCACCCGTCCTCCTGGCTGAGGGCGCAGGGTGGGCGCGTCCGCAGCCTTGTCCACGCAGGAAGGTGCTGCCGTGCCTGGGGACGGTGTGAGCGAGGCTTTCTCCTGCACGTGTTGTATCAGCTTGGTGTGTGGTACCTATGCAAAAAAAAGTGGAAGCTGACCTGGCAGGGCCCTTGCAGAGACTGAGGAGCATGTGCGGGGCCCGCGCCTGGGCCTGACACGCAGAGCTGGCCCTTGGGCCAGACGTCATGCTGCTGTCCTGACGCGGCTGCACGCGCCCCAGCGTGCGTGAGGCTTCGGCACCCCCAGGGGACGCATACTTGTCCCTGTTCCGGAGCACATGACTGGGCAGGGCACTCCAGTGGTGCGGAACAAGGAGAAACCACGGTCTCCTTCGTTGCCTGGTTGAGGTTGCTTATGCTGGTGCGCCCGGCTCACAGGGCGAGTGTGTGCGCCAGGCCTGGCAGGACACAGCGTGGGCTGGGCTCCTGTCCAGAGGGCGCGGCCACGGGCCCGCGTGCCGCAGCCTCGGCGCACCGTCTGCGTGCGCTCCGTCGCCCGGGAGCTCGCAGTCTGGCGTGGTGCTGCGGTGGTTCGCGCCTCAGAGGCGCAGGCACTTCTCTTCTTACCTGACAGTGTTAGAGCTTCGAGTTCCAAGGGAACTGTGTTTCCTTAAGCCAAAAATAAAATGTTCTCCTAGCCATGGTGCTGGAGGTCTTTGTGTCTGTCCCTAAAGCGTGGCACGCGTGTGATGGCGTGCAATGGTGACACGCGTGTGATGGCGTGACCTCGGGAGGACAGGTTGGACTTGGCCGTCGCAACGTCAGAGGCGTAGGCCTGAGGGCCACAGGGCCAGGATGAGGCCCAGCTCAGCTTTTGTAGCTGCCTGACCAGGCCCCCAGTGGGGGGCGAGCGTGGCGACCCCTAGACCCTGGGCTGGCAGGCCAGTCCCCCTTGTAGAGGTCAGTCACTGGGCAGGCAGGGGACGAAAACGCCGGCCGTGTCTGCAGGGCCCCTCGCCTCGCCTCTGTTAAAGTGAGCGGCTGCCCTGGGGCTGAGGCCCTGCGGGGTGCCAGGCAGCGACCGCTGCTGGTGACTGACCTTCGCCCAGCGCGGGGTCCCCCAGGCCCCCCCGCGCCTGCCCAGTGGGGGGTTTGCAGGCCGCTGCCTTCTGGGGTCTGATTTTTCACAGCAGCTCATGGGGTCCTTCATCTCTTGGGAACAGCTCAGGTTTGTCGTCGTCGGTGGAAGCGCAGCCTGCAGAGCTGGCGAGGGGGGACGGCCCCTGTTCTTGGGGTCCCCGAGTCCCGGCCAGCTGGGCCACGGTGCCAGTGGCTGGGGGGGCAGCGGAGGGCGTTTGGTGATTGGGGCGTCTGAGGGGAACGCGGGACGGCCTCTGCTGGTGTGATTTGGGGACCAGACAGCCTCGAGAGGGCCCTTCTGGGGGGGCCACTGTGCCGCGGCCCAGCAAGGTCGGCCAGCAGAGACGGCCCTGGTGCCTTTGGGTGGGTTTTACTTCTGGCCTTTTGTTCTCTTTGGTTTAGAGGGAAGACTTGCCTAATCTGTGCCTGTTAAAGACCTGGGTGGTCAGGGGACCCCAAGTTAAGAGTGGCAGTGAGGGGCCCCTACTCCTGAGTGAGTCCCTTGTCTCTTTCAACACCACCTTGCTCCAGAGCAGACGGGGCAGGGCGGCCTGTGGAGGGGCCCAGGAGGGCCACCCAGTGGGAAGCCCGGCTCCAGGGCCCTGGTGAAGTCCCGGGCACGGCGGCAGGACCCCGCTGGGCGCAGCCGGGCAGGGGCGGGTGTGGTCTGCACTGACCGAGAACCGGGAGCCGCCGCCGCCCCGGCGGTGGGGACTGCGAGGTCCTCCCGGGGTCCCTCACAGAGGAGGCCGCGCAGGTGCGGTGACTCCCACCCCTGGACCCGCCCGGCGGGAGAAGTGGCACGTGCCCGGGGCTGGCCCTGTCCCGTGTGCCCCAGTGTCTGCTGCGGTGTCAGTTGAATGGCCGACTTCTCAGGGAAGGCCACCGCCCGACACCCTGGCGCGGCCCTACAGAGCATGCAGGACGCTCCTCCCTGGCCTGGTCGGCCACGGGAGGGTGTGTCGGGCCCGATGACCGTCCCTTGTCACCCAGCAGCAGCCCTGCTTTCTCGCTGGGACGTAGACCGTGAAGCTTCTCATTGTGATAACATATTCTCCTTTGTCTTCACAGAGATTAATAGACAAGTCACGAGTAACCTGTGTCAAATGGGTTCCTGGCTCGGAAAGCCTGTTCCTAGTAGCCCACGCCAGTGGGAGCATGCACCTGTATAACGTGGAGCACTCTTGTGGCACCACAGCCCCCCACTACCAGCTCCTGAAGCAGGGCGAGAGCTTCGCTGTGCACACTTGCAAGAGCAAATCCACGAGGAACCCTCTCCTCAAGTGGACGGTGGGCGAGGGGGCCCTCAACGAGTTTGCTTTCTCCCCAGATGGCAAGTTCTTGGCGTGCGTGAGCCAGGACGGGTTTCTGCGGGTGTTCAACTTTGACTCTGTGGAGCTGCACGGCACGATGAAAAGCTACTTTGGAGGCTTGCTGTGCGTGTGCTGGAGCCCGGACGGCAAGTACGTCGTGACGGGGGGCGAGGACGACCTGGTGACCGTCTGGTCTTTCGTGGACGGCCGCGTCATAGCTCGCGGCCACGGGCACAGGTCCTGGGTCAGCGTAGTGGCCTTCGACCCCTACACGACGAGCGTGGAGGAGGGCGACCCCACGGAGCTCAGCGGCAGCGACGAGGACTTCCAGGACCTGCTCCACTTCGGTCGAGACCGCGCCAACAGCACCCAGTCCCGGCTGTCCAAACGGAACTCCACGGAGAGCCGGCCCGTCAGCGTCACGTACCGGTTCGGCTCTGTGGGCCAGGACACGCAGCTCTGCTTGTGGGACCTCACGGAAGACATCCTCTTCCCGCACCAGCCCCTCTCGAGGGCGCGGACACACACAAACGTCATGAACGCCACGAGCCCCCCGGCCGGGAGCACCGGGAACAGCGCCACGACGCCCGGCAGCGCGGCGCCCCCTCCTCTGCCGCGGTCCAACAGCCTCCCACATTCCACCGTCTCCAGCGCCGGCAGCAAGGGCAGCGTCGCCGACGGGGCCGTCGCGTCCGGGGTCAGCAAGTTCGCAACGCTCTCCCTGCATGACCGGAAGGACCGGCACCACGAGAAAGACCACAAGCGGAACCACAGCATGGGACACATCTCCAGCAAGAGCAGCGACAGACTGAACCTGGTTCCCAAAACCAGGACGGACCCGGCCAAGACCCTGGGCACGCCCCTGTGTCCTCGGATGGAAGACGTGCCCTTGCTGGAGCCGCTCATCTGTAAAAAGATAGCACACGAACGCCTGACCGTGCTGATTTTCCTTGAAGACTGTGTGGTCACCGCGTGTCAGGAGGGGTTTGTTTGCACATGGGGGAGGCCGGGGAAGGGGGCGAGTTTGAATCCTTAATGCTGCACCGGACGGAGACTCAGTAGGTAGCGATTTTTTTCTTGCGGGAGGGGTGGGTGTACAATGGATGAATGACACTTCTTAATGTAAATCTAAATGCATCAGAGCCATAATTTTGGATACTGCATGCCGTGTAATTCTGAATCATTTGATAATTCACCTTAGAAGGTTTAAAAAATATAATCAAACTAATTGCCAGCCAAGTCAGTCACCCTCCTGGGAGTAACTAGAGTCCCGAGGTTAGTGTTCCCGTCTTAGACGATTTTGATTTTAGGAAAATCATGACAGTATGGGAAACAATGACTTAAAAAGCTAAAATTAAAGTCTCTGCTTTAACTGGAATATTTTTGCTTAACTACGCAATTAGAATATTGTACACCTGATCAGAGCGTGTGTTCAGTACGGACGGCCATTGATTGTCATTTATAGTCCAATTTTTTTATCTTAATCATAAAATGTTTAGGAATCTATGAAATTTAACTTTAGGAACAAAGCGTTCAGCAGGGTTGATTGATATTATTTTTACATTGTTCTGGCAATCCACAGAAAGAGAAGAGCCTTAATTTTTAAAACCCATTTTAGTCATTTTATGACAATTAAAATTGTTTAATAAACATCTTTTTTCAAAGAAGCAGTTTGTACCACTTTGATTGAGACTCTGTGCACTAAACGACACACCCACGCTCCCGGAGCCGGCGGCCGCGAGAGCCGCGGGCCCAGGCCCCCGCAGGCGTCCGAAGTGCCTCTTGCCACACGAGCCAAGACCTGTATGTCCCACACGCTGTGCTGATGTTTTTTTCCAATGAGGAAAAGGACGTTTTATTCTCTTTTGTTTTGGGGCAGGTTTTGTGGGGATATTTGTTTCTTGGGTGTTTTTTTTTTGTTTTTTTTTGTTTTTTTTTTGTCAAAAGGCACGCGGCTGTAGGCCCTGGACAGCCTCTTCAGCTTTGTTTTGTACAGACAGACAGACCCCCGAGGCCCTGGCTGGCTCCACCCCGGAGGGGGAGCCCAGGCGCAGGTCGCCCGTGCCCTGCTGTGGCGCAGCCGCTTAGGGGTCTCTCCGGGTTGCCCGTGCTGGCTGGGCCTGCGGCGGCCAGGGCCGGGGCGCACACACCCCGGGCGGGACCGCTCCCGTGGGGAACGACGGTGTTTGACCCTGAGTCCAGCCCGGAGGACCTTCCAGCAGTGGAGGAGTTTCGGATCCCGGTTTTCACACAGATGGACGGTTCCCTGAGCTCTGTGTTTTGTGTCAAGATGATGGCTATCTTATTTGTTAACTTATTTTGGTCATTTAGGTTTGTTTTGTTTTGCACACTTTTGTAATTAAATACAGAGATACTGACAACATATGCTGGTTTGCGTAGTGACTGCGGCTCAGGTGAAGGCCCGGACGCGCAGAGAGCGGGGGCGGCCCCGGCTGGCGGGGCCTCAGCCCGGAGCCCCGGCGCCCCTCCTCCACCTGCCTCCCCACACCGTGCGGTTGGGTCCCCTCACGCGGAGGGTGCGCGGTCACGTCCGGGCTGCGGTGGGGTCCTTGGCTCCTGCGCGTTGCCTGCTCTAAGGCAGCAACGTCGGCGGCCTCGCAGGTGATGCCGGGCCACCAGACCGGGAGACTAGGACCAGCACCCCACACGCGGGTCGTGTGCCGCTTGGTGGTGGGAGTCTGTTTCAAACGCGCCTGAGGCCTGAGTGCACAGTTCCCAGTCACGGGACTCTGCGCCTGGCCTGGGTGGGGAGCGGCCTCCGCGGGGAAGGCCACGGCGCCCCCGCGGCTCTCGTGCACACCGGCACGAGGCCCGCGTGGGCCACTGACGGGCGGCTTTCCTGTGAGGCAGAGAGTGCGGGAGGTGGGGGGAGGTGAGAGGACATTACTCTCACCTCTGGGGCCCTCTGGGGCCCATCTCCTCCCACCCCCACCCACCCTCGCCCGGGTCCTGTCAGGGTGGGGGTGGGGGGTGGAGCTTGGTCACAGCCCCGTTCTTGCAGTTTCTGCTGGGGCGCGTGTGTCCTCTCTGTCAGGCCCCTGCTGGGGTCGCTGCTGGGTGGGCCCGGCTGGCCCTGCACCTGCTGCCTCTCTGACGCCTGCTCCCTTTCTTTGACAGCCAGCAGAGCACTCGTCTGGTGGTGGGGAGGACAGAGTGCAAGGTGTTCTTCGGGACCAGGGCTGAGCTGCCAGGCGGCAGCTCGAGGACGAAAGGGCCCCGCCCTGGACGGCTCCTGCGCGCGGGTTCCCATGGGCCCTGGGCTGCGGGGCCCTGAGCACAGGCTGCGGGTAGGCGGGGCCGGGGGAGCCCTTCCGTGGTGTTCTCCGCCAGCCCTGAGCTTCATCGTTGAAATTTTTTGACGTTTTCAGCTTGAGCAGAAATGTCTTTTCTGACCTGCCCTCTGGAGTGAAAGCCACGGGCAGGAAGTGGCGGCCGCTCCCTGGTCCACCTGGTGTCTCTGTCCTGCGCTGAACCCACGGCGAGGAGCGCGGGCAGGAGCCGAGCGTCGGGGGGCCCAAGCTGGGCGCCCTCCGACCCCTGTGCCGCCCATGCTCCCGGCAGCGGGGCTTTGGCAAGCAGCTCTGAACCCGCTGGCCAGGCAGGGCCGGGGACTCTAGCCCCCTGGAGGGCCTTGCCTTTCCCAGTGGCGGGGGGCGGGGGGTGTGAGGGGGCTGGCAGCCATTTTAACCTAACCGGCAACTTCAGGTCCATAGTTGCTTAAACAAGCAGTGGCTAAGAATCTTAATCTTGTCTTTTGTGCTAATTGACCTTCTGGCGTTTTTGGAGTGTTTTCCTATGAGCCCACTGGCCTGGGACTCGGGGTAGATGTCTCAGGATAGAGGAGTGGACGACACAGGATATTAGCTCAGGTATTCAGAAACGGCGGGGAGCCCACGGTGCAGATGCTGTGCAGGTTCTGTGGTGTGTGCCCACGTGCTTCCCAGGGGCCGCCGCCGTGCGCATCACAGCCAAGCCCGAGTCGGCCGGAGCCGGCCAGCGGTCACTCCCTTCCCCCTTCCACGGGCGCACCCTGGCTGGTATGAAATCGTCAAGTGTCACATTTGTGCTGGAGTTGGTGATGCTGTCCTGTCGGGGCTGCACCTGTGCGCGAGGTTCTTGTCACCTCTGCCTGGGAGGGGGGGCATGTGATCTCTTTGTTGGGGAAACGGAAAGCGTGCGGGGGAAGCTGCCGGGCAGGGGGCGCCGTGGACGGCAGCCAGGGCCCATTCTGTGTCCTGTCTAGGGCCGGACTAGAAGCAGAGTTGAACCTCGGGTCTTCCAGGAAAGGTGCGGGAGCACTTGGCTGAGGGACCGGTGCAGGTGGCCTGGGGAAGCAAGCTGTGGGCGTGCCTGTCCCCTCGAGCCCGGCGTGCGCACGGCGGGCTCGCCTTCCTCAGCCCTGGGCCTCGGCCTGCCTGTGAGGAGCCCGGGGCCTGCCGGCACGGGGCCCAGCAGCCTGGAGACCGGAGCTGTTCCTTCCAAGCCCGGAGCCCGCCGGGCAGCGGGCGTGAGCTCGCCCTCACAAAGGGGGCCGCCCCGGCCGCCAGTCGCCGCCTCTGTCGCATGGCCTGCATCACGGTCCAACTGCAGTCTCTCGATTGAAAGTGGACAAGAAAATGTTTTTGAGGTTTTATTTCTGTATGCGTAAGTTTATTAAAGATTGTTATGTTAGGTGACACACTGTATAAAATTGTATGAATATTTACTTTTCGTGGAAATCAAAAGTTGAGCTTGCATGCATTTCCTTTTTTTATATTTTCACCTAATTTCTTGACAACTTGAATAAATTTTATAAAGAGCCTTCCTAAAATGAAATGTTGGTAAATTAAGTTCTTAACTGTTGCAGAAATGAATGCGGCTTTAATACCAGTATTGTTACTTTATTATTTTAAGAAAATCATGCCTGCTCCCTGCCTTGGCTTTCGCTGTTCCCAGCTCATTGTCCCGGCTGGAGACTCACGACGCACGTGATGCTCCGAGGTCCTTTGCGGCTGCCCTCTGCACGGACAGTAAATAAACGTGTGAGTTACACATGTAGATCGCTTTCAACAGTCACTGTGGTGTCTAATGTCTAAGCGTTATAAAATCTCCGCGGCTGGAGCTGGGAAGGAAGAGCTGCTCCTTGCTGCAGAGTTCAGGCCCTGATGTTTACAGGACAAATGGACACAGGAGTCGCTGCCTCTCATTACCGAGGCTGAGATCAGGCTCGTGGTTGGGAACCTGGTGAGCGAAATGTTTGTCCTGCGTATCGGGGTGTGGAGGGTTCTGTGTGATGCTCACCTGTCCCGCGTCCAGCCTGGGGAAGGGCAGGGGACCGACGGCAGCCAGGCTGTGGGGCGAGGCCGCCCTGGCTGCCGCCAGCCACTGTGCCGGGCAGACAGCATCCCGGATGTTGGGCTCGGCCGTCTGTGTGGCCCGCAGCCAGCAGCGGAGGAGACGGAGGGACACCAGCTGGCCGCCGCAGAGCCTGCTCCTGGGGGACCTCCGGGCGCTGGAGTCGCTGCGACTTGTCCTGCCTGAGGCTCCCGCGTGGAAGGAACAGCCTAAGCAGAGCCATGGGGGCCTCCGCACAGGGAGGGGAGGAGTGTCCCTCCAGGCAAGTGATCTGAGCGGCCCCCTGCGCCTCGGTCCCCGAGTGCTTCAAGGCCAGATGCCCAGGCCTGGCCTGCAAGTGCCCAGAGGCTCTTGGGGGTGAAGGTGAGACAGAACCTCTGCAGCTCCTGGTGCCCCCACGTCGCTGCCCCGCCCCTGCTGTTTCATGACGTGTCCGCCCAGCAACTCAGCATCTCTGGCCCCCGCCGCCTCCGATCCTTCAGCGCTGACCCGCGCCCTGCCCTCAGCTCGGAGCCGGCCAAGCCAAGACCGGCGTTGGGCCCTCGGACCCGCTGCCGCAGGACCCGGCTTCGCCTCAGCTCTGTGTGGCTGGAAGCCCGAACTGCGGCCAGGTTGGCAGCAAGCTCAGAAGACACACAAGCACCACTCTCCTGATCTTTTAAAAATAGCTTGTAACTTGAAAAATTTTAAGTCCGTCTTTCCAGGTGTGGCTGGCTGTCGAAAGCAGGTGGTTCTGCACCAGTGGCCTCAGCTCCCCCTTCAGTGGAGGCCTGTGTGGCAGACCCCCCGCAGGGACTGCAGCTGGGACGACTGGGAGGACACAGGAGGGCTTCGCCCGTCCTGCCCCCATGGAGCAGAGGGTTCAGGGCCGCAGTCGGTCACCGAGGCCACGCGCCTGCAGGGGGCAGGCTCGGGGCAGCCCTGAGCCCGCGGTGCCTGAGGGAGCCTTCCCCGGGGGTCTAGGGAGGACAGGATCGATTTCTCTGTGTGACTTTCCAGCCGCCAGGCCGAGTGGCCTCTTTGAGGAAATGTGCCGCCTTCAGTGTGACCCGTCACTGGGCAGGTCAGGGCTGGCAGAGGGACCCGGCCAGCCCCCAGCAGGAGCCGAGGCCCCAGGCCCACCGGTGCCGGGCTGATGGCACATCTGGGGCGGGGCCCTGGTGCCCGGGAATGGCCGCAGCAAGCGCCCTTGGGGTGCCCCTCCTTGGAGCCCCACGACCTCGGAGGGCCTTCCTGAGCCTGGCTCACCTCCTCGGGGCTCGGCCTCACGCTCCACAGTGGGACGTGGCGGCGGCGCTGCCCAGGCACCCCTGGCCTCCGCCCGCAGCGGCCCACGTGGTGGGAGCAGCGGGCTCTTGTGAGGCATTGGGTCAAGGGGAACGTGCCTGCAGCCGGGAGTGTCCCGGGAGGGCGTCGGCCCGGGGACGCCTCTCGCCGTTTCTGCCCTGTTTCTAAGAGGCATCACTTTACAACTAACGTTTTCCTCCAAAGAGAGGAGGCCCTGCTGGTGAGCACCCGGCTCGGGGTTCAGAGCCGGCCTCGTGGCCGCCCGCCCTGTGGGAGAGGCTGGAGCCGGGGCCAGCAGCCCCAGCCCCAGCGCCTGGTGTCTGCTGGCGCGTGCGCGCGTGGGCCTGGGACCTCCCGGGGGGGTCTGAAGCCTCGGTGAGGCCCCTGCCAGTCAGCGAAGGGTGAGGAGGGGTGAGCCAGGGCCAGCCGTCCCGTGTCAGCGGCGATGCCGAGCACCAGCACCCAGGCCAGGACCTCAGCGGGCCTGGTGACGCGCGGGCCACCAGGCCTGCCACCCGCCCACGCTTGGGGACGGAGCTGCTTGGCTGCAGCCGGTGGTGCAGGCCTCGGGGCAAACATGGCCATTCAGAAGCCAGGTAGAGAGTCCCCTGGTCTCCGGAAGCCTGTGCTTTAGAGGCTACCAGGCGGGT